AGAAGATTGATACTTCATGGTCTATCTTCTGGGGCTTGATATAGTGGGTCTAGTGAAGACCCGCTAAAACAAATTCAGAGGGTGCCCTGTTGGCTCCAGTACTCCTGCTCCTCACAAAGAGTAAGGGAAGCCAATGGGAGCATTTGTGTATCTTAATTTGACCTTCCTCTGTAGTGTAGACCAGGCCTTAGTGTTCTTGGATCTAAGAGGAGAGTTGAAAATTCTAAAGCGAGGAACTTTCCCAGCCTCTCTTACTTCCTGCTGGCTTGGTATTCAGGCCAAAGCTGTTTGTAGATTTCATGCCATTTTCCTGTTATGAGCTGGGACAGGGATTGTATGGAAGAGTTGACTCACCGCTGGCATACCCCCTTGTGGCTGGGCATGGGTATAGCAGCTTCTTCATGGTATCTGGGTGTGGTATGGCACCTCTTTTCTCACTAGGGTTCTCTGCTGACAGTACATAGACTCCAACGCCAGAAGGGACCATTGTAATCATCTGGTCTGATGTCCTGTATGACACAGGACAATGAACTCCCCCAAATAAATTCTAGAGCATTTTTAAATTTTGATTTAAAAAATGGCCAGTGATGGAAAATCCACTGTGACCCTTGGTAAAATGTTTCAGTGGTTAATTATTCCTGTCTGCTGCTTGTTTCTCTAGTCAGGCCATACTTCACTTCCACTCCTTTAGAGAAACAAAGTCCATGACACCAGAAATCCAACAATCTATCATCAATGTTTTGCCCCTGATTCTGTGCCCCATGGTCCTTATTCTCTTTGCATGAAGCCTTTCATAAATCCATATCAGCTTACACTGGGGAGCTTTCATGCCACTTTCTCCAGTGTTGATAGGGGATCCCAGGCCCTCCTTCCCGACTGGATACCAGTCCAGAGACCTGATGATGAACAAATAAAGTGCACCATTAGACTCCTTGCTGTTGTCTCCCTTGTCTTCTTCCTATCTTCTTCATTTTGTCAGGCCTTCTATCTAGTCGCTTTCTGGACTTTTGTAATGAGTGATGCCTCCCAAGGCTTCTCCCTGGAGGTCTGGTTTCTGCCCTTGGCTGTGTTCCTAATCCATGCAGCCTTTATGTTAGGGCTTCTGTAAGCAGCTTCCTTCCATTGTTCCATTCCCCAGGTCCGTCTGCCTGCAAGTCTTTACCCTCCTTCTCCATGATTGAGTTCCTGCTCTGTCTTCCATTTCTGCCTGATTGAACTGTTTCTTCCCCTTACCCTGCAGGGCAGATGATTTTTATGGGCCCTGAGGTTATCTCAGCTCTGGCCAGTTCTATCACAGTCCACTCCTACTGCTCCTTCCTGTCTCTCTGCTAAGAGAGTAGTTAAAGTTATTTCTTTACCCACAATCATCTTCAACTCCAGGCTTCCAGCCTTTATAGCACCACACAGCTGGGCTTCATGTTTAATTAGGAATGGTCCACTATCCAGGTGCAACCAGGTGGCTGGCTTAATGTGTGTCTCAGATTAATCTTTTCAGAGGTGGGATGGGATATATAACTCATCACAGACCCCTCTTAAAATGAATTTGGGGAGGAGAGAGGAAATTCAGCGGGACTGATTTTTGGCCAGGAATGACAGCCTAGTGCCTCCTTCCAATAGTCACAGACCTCACTTCGCTGTAGTACTGTGCACCATAGTAGCCTTGTTTTGAAACCCGGGTATGCTGCACTATAGCTTTTGTAGCTATTAGTTTTATTTGTAGGGGTGCAGTTACCCCAGTAGCTGGCTGGTTGAAATCCCAAGTGTAGACAAGGCCTGAGTGTTCCAACTCAAGATGCTCTGTTTGCAATCAAGTTTCATTAATAAGCTTGAGCTTTTTATCGTTGTTATTTGTAAAGACTGGATAACCTCCTCCTCTAATTCCAAACAAAATTTTGCCCTGGAAATGGAAACTTAAGGAAAATAAATAGCCTTTTTATGTTTTCTGCCAAATATGTCACTGAATGTTTTGGTTAAATAGCAAGTTATTGAAAAGATCTGGTCTTCTGGATCTTAGAGAATTGATTTGTGTTAAATGCAGTATTTCATATGTTGTGTACAACATGGGATAAACTGGTGGGATTCAGGGGAGAGGGGCAACTATGTCTCAACAAGGAAGAGGCAGAATATTGCATGTCTATTCATGTAACATAGTACCTGGCAGGCCTCCTTCCTATCATTGTCCTAGCTGCTAGAAAAAGGCTTTTCAGCTCGGGGATCATAAGGTTGTCTTCACTCTGGCACTAACTTATTTCTTTCTCTCCTAATTAAAGCCCTGATTCCTCTTCGATGTCTGAAATAAAGTGCCCATTCTTTCTTAGAAGAAAGTAATTATTAGTGGTCTTTGCAATGGTCAAAAAGGGCATGGCAGTGCTGCAAAAAGAACTAGATCTGTTTGCAGCCAGTGTTTTGTGTGCATGGTGAGTCTGTGTTAGAATAGCACCTTTTCATTGCCAAGGGGTAAATAGTTCTAACACTTGTTGGAGAGGTGTTTTTGGCTAGATAAGTCTTAAAACAGACCTCACTCCATTGTTCTCCTGCAGAAAAAGGGCTAGGGCAGAAGAGCTTGAATAGTGTACAGATCAGCTAGCAAGAAAAACTGTTATAATCAAAGGCTGTAGCTTTTGATCTAATCTGTTTGCTACTTGGCAACTTATCTGAGCCTATATTGACCTTGGCAACATCCTTGACCTTCATTAGCAAGGGCAGTTAGACTTTAGGCAGGTGCTTCGAAGCCATGGTGTAGCAGTAGCTAAACTAGTGAGCCAGCCAGATGTATTCAGAAATCCTACGCATTTGTTTAGTGTCTGGCTGCTTTCATGGCTATAAGTCATAGCTCAGCAGCAACATCCTTTTCTAGAACATTGGGGAAGGATCTTGACTGATGATGAGTTCATTACCTTTATGCAGAAGGACAGCATAAGACTTCACCCCATTTAAGTCATTGGGGCTTAAGTGCTGCAAAAGCTGGCACTTCGTGCAGGGATAAATACAACCTCGTAAAACTAGTAGGTAAATATTTTTTTCTTTGAAGAATTTCCACAAATGAAGGAGTAGCATGGTCTGACCTGAGGAACTCTTGGGTTTGATTGACACATTTTGGTCTCAGACAAGTCACTTGGCGCTCAGAATTCCACTGGACTACAAAAGTGTGTTTTTTCTGTAAACTTCAGCTGGAGCATGATCATAGGATTAATCTTTGTTAGTTTCCCAGCGTTAAAAAGGAAATGATTTCTCCCTACCTCAAAGACGTTGTAAAAAGGATTTGTAAAGTGTCTGTCTGGAAGAGTCTGGAGATATAAAGCGGTTTCATGACTATTTGATAGTCCCTGGAAGGAGGCCGGTAGCTAGTGCGCTCCCAGCCCCACTCGGGGAGTTCTCTGCCACCCTGCACAGCTGCCTCTGTGTCAGAGGCAGCTGTGCAGGGTGGCTTGTGGGAACTGGTCTATGAGGGGAGTCAGTTTAAAAATTAGTTCCCTGTGCAGACTCTCTGCCTGCTGCTCCGCATTGCTGCCTCTGTATTTAGTATGGGATGGCAGAAGCCCCTGTCCACAGGGGGACTGAGCTCTCCACAGATAAAGGCTGCTCTGGCATCCCACAGAGCAGCCCCTATATATTGCGGGGAGGGGAGGGGAGATGTCAGTCTGAGCTCCTTGTGGACAGAGGTTGCTCCACTGCAGCAGCCTCTGTCCATGGGGAGCTTGGACCCTTCTCCTACAAGGACAGGGGCTGCTCGGTGGGATGCTGGAGCAGCCTTTGTCTGCGGTGACCCCAGGCTGCTGCGGACAAATGCTGCTTCATGATAGCCCTCTCTCCCCCAACACACTGAGGTTTCTGATAGAGGCAGCAGCGCGGGATGGGAAGGTGGATTTGGTGCTCATGGGGAGTTAGCTTTTAAACCAGCTCCTTATAGGCACAGACTTCTGCTTTCTCTCCCTTCTTCCACCCCCACAAGTGGGAGGGGGAAAGTGCATGTAGTCAATAAGATTAACCTGTAATCCCAGGCTTGTCAGTTAATTGTGTAGCTGTCTACACGTTGACCTCCCTGCACTCAACTGGCCAAATAGCCGCTTGTGGCTAGCTTGTTGGACACCATGGCCTTAGAATGAAACTCTGGGCTGGTTTGCTTCTTCCCATTTCCATTGTGGAGCTCTTTGCCTGCTACAAAATGGACTGTGGAACCCATTCCAAAATGTGTAAGGATATTTAAGGATCTTCAGGAAGCCTGTAACAATCCAGTCTCAAAGCTAAGGATTCCTCTGGAGACCTTGGAGCATCCTGTCACAGAGAGGGTTCTGCAAAGTAGGTGCCCAGGCTTGTACCTTTTTCTTGGTAAGCTTTTCAGGGCCAGATGAGATACTCACTGTACCCTCTTCCACTGTCCCACCTACTGTAGGTTAGTTCCCAGACTCTGGCTTGGCCCTGTCCTTCCTTCCCCTGCACAGATCCTGACATTGCAGAGTGTCTTTTGACAAATAGGATGGTGGTCTCAGTGAGATGCCTTTTTAACTCTTTCCTTCTGCAGAGGAGGAGTTAGCTTGGCAGAGGGATCTTGGTGGCATTTCCAAGATGCTTCCTTAAGTTACTCCCCTACCCTCTCTGGATCTCAGTCATCCCTTCCCAGCTGTATTTTTTTTGTGTGTGTATGTATCTCTCCCTCCCCCTTGTCTACATATATTTCTTCCCTTTCTCTTTTGAGAGGAAAGTATTACTTTTTAATAAGTTACAAGTCATGCAACCACTTTGACCAATACACTTTGGTGCATTGTGGACACCAACTTGAAACAAAATGCTGTTAATATTTCACCCATCACCCTTTTATTTGAAGATACAGAATATTATGCAGACTAAGCAAGTATATTTTTAATTTTTGGATGGGAGAGGAAAGATTGAAACCTCAAACATAAAATTAAAATAGACCTTGCATTTTATGAAAAGTTGGAATTTAGAGTTTAGTTATAACTCTATAACAGCTCAACTCTGTTTCTTTGATTCTCTTTCAGGGAATTGAGAATGGGTCATCAACAATGCTAGGTCTACAATGGGAAGTGTCACGCTTCGCTATTTCTGCTATGGATGCCTTTTCACATCGGTGACCTGGACCCTTCTGCTGTTTGTTTATTTCAACTTCAGCGAAGAGACCCAATCTTTCAAGAATGTGCCCATCAAGGGGCTGGAACCTCAAAAGCCACTTCCTAAAAAATTCTATCCCCGTTTCACTCGGGGTCCAGTTCGTGTTCTCGGACCACAATCGAAAGACAACAATATAAGGAATCCATTTGGAAATCATGCACATGACCTGGTGAAGGGAGACCTGGACCTCTCCCCTGAAATGGGTAAGTAGACTTGGTCACCTTCATTATCAGGGACTTCCATGGACATACAAACACATCTTAGTTAAATTAGAAATGAGATCATGAGACTTTAAAATTGTCTAAGGAAAAATTTTATATTCAAATAGCATATTTTTTTTTATTTACCAAAATGTATAACGTCCAGGGTAGAAACTTGGTATAAAATCTTGCCACTGGTAGCATTTGCATATCTCTTGGTAATTTACCTTGATGGGGATTGGACTAAAATATGTGTGAAATTTTAGAGGCTGCAGAGATGCTCAATTTTTCCAACATACAGGATTTTAAAAAGTAGTTTGCAATGCATTAGTATGAGACCCGGACTTCTTATGTATGTATCATAGAAATATAACATCTACAAATGAGGCTAGAAGTTATGACAGGTTTACTCATCTGACAAGTAGGGTCAAATCTTGCTTGCTTCATTCAGTCAAATAGTCCTGGTGTAATGAACAGACCTACTTAGATCAGGTCTATACTAGACCCAAAAGGTTGACTTAAGGCAGGGCTACTCAACATGTGGCCCACGGGCTGCATGCGGCCCATGGCCCATTTGTTTGTGGCCTGCAGCACAGTTTGGGTTTACGTGGGGCTCAACATGCAGCCCACAGTTGGAAGCCAATATAATGGTCTTCTGTTAATATGCATTTTAGTAGTTAAATTCCTGGACTGTCATTGCTCGTTAAAAGTGCTGTCATATGGGGGGAAATTGGGTAAATATTGCATTTTATTAATATCAGCAGAACTGACTTAAATGGGCCTGCGTATTGTGTAGTCTTGCTGTAATCTTTGTATTTATGCCCATCAGTGTGACAGAAGATATTTCCATATATATGCAACCACACTTAAGTTGCGGCCTTAAGCATGTGCTGAGAGTATCACTGTGGCCCCTGGAGTTTCCAAAGTTGAGTAGCCCTGGCTTAAGGTATGCAACTCCAGATATGTAAATAATGTAGCTGGATTCAACGTACCTTAAGTCGAGCTTGGTGCTGTCTCCAGAGTGGGAGGTCACTGGGAGAAAATGCTCCTATTGGCTTCCCTTTTTCCTCGCGAGGAATAGGAGTACTGGGGGTGCCCTCAGCTTCAATTTAGCAGGTACTTACTAGACCTGCTAAATTGAATGCCAGAAGATTGATCTCCAGTGCAGCAAGTGGAAATGTAGTTTTGAGTATAGCACTTTGATCATAGGACTGGAAGAAGGTAGCACAAGTCACTCCACTTGTGTTTTAACTATTTCTTTTGGAAGTAGAATATATTTTGTCTAGCTGGCAGTGCTGGCTAAAACTCCCTTCATGGTAAAATTTCAATAAAGCATCAGCTGTTGGAGAGTTTTATGGAGTTTCAGAAAAAGCTTACCAAAATGTAAATGTGGACCTGCTCACAGGCATATATGATACATTTTGGAAAGCAGTTTACCTTCTAACAGCCAACTTGTGATGCCACATGGCATGCAAATTTTGTATCGACTTGCTGAATACCAACAGCAACAAATTGCTGGATAGTCCAGAGGTGACCATTTCTTTCCAAGTATTCACTACTCATCAGGAAATGAATTGGGAGAGTTGCAACAGAAAATCTTTGATCCTGAAACCCAGAGACTGGCTGGGCTGGTGAAAGCCAAGTGTATTATATTGCAGGACACTTCTTGTATGAAAATTTGGGAAACAGCTGGGCCTTTGTTACATTAGACTTAGTGTTGGAGGGAAGGGTTTCCTGTCTGTCCGGTCTGGAAAAATGATATATATTCTAAACTGTAAAGTTTAAAAAAAAAAAAAAAAAAGTTTGTAGCTGAAAAGAAAATAGCACCTGGTAGGGTAATCTATATCTTTTTTTTTTCCTTATAAGCTTATGAAACACATGCAACACTGCTGTAGTACAGGGTTTGTTGGTGTTTCCATTGCAAACCTCATTTTCCAAGGGTTTAGAATTGTTTGGATTGGAATTTGTCAGGCATTTTGTACGCACGTTGTTAGCCTGCGTGGAGCTCTTCAAAACCATCTTAAATAATATTTATGAGTTTGTCTTTGTTCAGAGAGAGAGAGAGGAAAAAATACTCCTGTGAGGTCAGGCTGTAGAACAAAAACCAGTGCAATTTGGCGTGAAGTTTTCAAGCATGTGGTCCTTCAAGTGGATGAAATGAACAGGCTCGATGGCAGTAGTGGTTGCTGCAATCCAGAAGATGCGAGTATGACCTAATTTAGAGCCTAACAACTCAGTGAAGTTTGGAACTCTAGAGCAGTAGAATTTAAATTGTTTGGATAGACAAAAGCATTGTTAAGTTCAGGTGTGCAGCTCCAAAGAAGGGTTTGTGCCACTGCATTTGTATCTACTGATGGACAAGGAAGGGAAGGTGATGCTATTAATAGTCACATACCTGACCTCTGTTCTTGTTGCATTTCAGTTATCCAGGTGGATACAATCCCATGGAGACAGACTGTATTGGTGTAAATTGTGGCTTCTTCTGAGGTAGCTTGCCATAGTGTTAAACCTCTGCTATCAAAGTGTGAGCTACTGCTGCTACAATAGTGTTGTGGCACTTAAGGCTAAAAAACTCAGTTCAGACCAGGCATAGAGCAGTCCCATTGGAGGGCCAGGTATGCTCCATCTGGAGAGTCACTGTTATATGTTCCAAGATGTAAATCCCATTACTTTGTGATTAGTAAGTCATGTTACATATGTGCTATGAAAGGAGATAAGGACCTATTCTTGCTGTCTTTCCCTTGCAAAAACATTTCTATAGCTTGCATTTCTCCTTCTGTTTTGCCCCTTTCCTTTCTGATTGTGTGGCCTCCCTGGATGGTCTTGAGACTGTCATTGCCCTAGGTCACCTGGATTTTGCATAGCTCTCCAAAGCAAAGTAATATCTTGGGCATATTGCAGAAGATGAATTTAGGGTTTCTTTGCTTATTGGTTTGTCAGACAATCGACATGTTGAGTAAGGGTGAAAAAAAAATAAATGAAGCCACCTGTTTCAATATTTCAGGGCTCGTACCAAGTGTTGAGAGATCTTAATAGTGCAACAACTTAGTGAAGTTTGGAACTCTAGAGCAGTAGAGTTTAAATTGTTGGCCCCAGTCATAGTCAGGGATGGAAAGGATGACATTACAAGACTTTACCATTTGCACTGTTGTGCTTTTTTAAAACATGGATGGCTGCCTTTACCCTCCTATTGCACTCAATTCAAATTGATGTTTCTGCTAAAACAATCAGCGAAGAAATAGTTATGTTGCTATTGAAGTTGTCATTCTGAAGCTTGAGTCTCAACATCTCAGGTATGACAAATGAGGATAGAGCAGGCTTCTTTGATTGCAGCAAGACAAACAATAGCAGTCTTAGGAAAACTGCAGTGCACAAGGGACGTAATTGGAAAGATTTTCTACCATTACAAGGACTGGGAACTTACTGTGTTTAAATAGAAACCTACACTTTTTGTAGACCATTAATCTGCTGTGGGTACCAAATTGATGCATCAAGTGCACTACATCTGGCTGGCTGGTTAGGTGTTTGACAACTGTGTTTTATACTGAGCTAAGAGTGAGGTTTTTAGGAGGAAGAAATGTGTGGGGAATAGGAAATAAACACAATGGGGTATCATTCTTTTTGGGGGGTGTTATGCTGTATTCATATATAGCTTATTTTTATTAAACCTATAAAAGCTCTTCATAGACTTAATCTATTGGGATAGAAATGAAAGTATTCACGCAGATATGTGTTTCGAAAACAGGGGTTTAAAATGATTTGTAAAGGAAGATTGTGATAGCCCTGCATGAGGTTACACTCCATTTTAGTACTTGATCATTGCTAGAGGACATTTTTGACCCTGTGAATTGATTTTGATATATTTCTATTACAGGTATGATTTTTAATGAGCATGATCAGGAGGTGAGAGACTTGGGCTATCAGAAGCATGCCTTCAATGTTCTTATCAGCAATCGGTTGGGATACCATAGAGATGTGCCAGATACAAGGGACGCAAAGTATGTCCTTTATGCCATTTTCTCTAAAAAATATAATGTTATGTTTTCAAGGGCCTAGTATGCTAAATAATGAGACTGGATTTAAACATTTGGCAACTACCCATCTATTACAGTTTGCTTTCAATATATCAGTTACCACTGAAGGCAGAAGTCCAGTCCTTTAATACTTGCAGTCAGATGGCTGGAGGTTATTGTTTTAATTTTGAGGGCTTGCTCTATTGAATACTGTTCAGAATTGGATCTCAAGAGACAAAGGGGAATGAGATGATAATTGTACATAATTAGAAAATTGCTACTGAGCAGGTCACATTACAGATGAATGCTTCCTTAAGGGTGTGTGGGGGTGGGGGGTGGTTAAGAGCACCAAAATAAGTCCTATCTACCTGCTTTACCACACAGAATTCTCATTGAACTTAGATTTTAAAATATGACTGCAAAGAAATGCATGTAGAGAAGAATCTTTACAAATTAATGACAGGTCAGAGGATTAAGTAGAAATCATTTTATTTTTTCAGATGTTAAATGGATCAATTAGAAAGTACCCTGCTCAATTTAAATATGAGAAGCTATTTGATGGTCACCTCAAAGACCTAACTGCAAATATATGGTAGTGAAATAAGTTAGATCCGTGGTCACCAACCAGTAGATCGTGAGCTACTGGTAGATCTCAGGGGCTCTAAGAGTAGCTCTTGAGCTCTCTCTGAACTGCGCACCTGTGCAGTACATTTACATTAGATTTCCTCATTTGAGGAGCAGCTACTCACCGAGCAACAACACAGGTGAGTAGCTGCGAGGAATGGTGGGAGCTGGAAGGTCGGGAGGGCTGAAACACCCCAGCCAGCTGACTGTGGCTTTCACAGCTGGAGCTAGGCGCAGCCTCCCTGGGCTGAGCGCAGGGCAGCCAGGCTGGAGGGAAGAGAAGCAGCTGCCTGGCCAGCTGGCTATGGTGCTCAGTCAGGGTGCACCATGCTCCACATGGGCTGGCGCAGAGGAGAAGCTGCCTGGCCAGCTGGCTGTGGCGTTCAGCCCAGAGGAGGCTGAACCACGCTCCAGCTGATTGGGCGGCTTCCCCTCTGCACCTGCCCACATGGAGCTTGGTGGCACCCTGGCTGAGCACCATGGCCAGCTGGCCAGGCAGCCGCTTTTCTTCACTCCAGCCCGGCTGCCCTGCGGTCAGTCCGGAGGGAGCGCAGGTCGGAGGCTTCCCTCCATGGCTGGGGGGGGGGCA